GTAGATAATACATAAAAAATTAAGACGAAACGTTTTAATAAACATAGAGTCGCAAATGCCTCCTTAACGAGATACAGGGCGTCAAAGTTTCTGTAAAATTAAACATTGTCTGCAATAATTCCAAAATGCCTGAACATTTCTATGTCAAATTTGTTATGCGTAGTTAGCACCTTAAGACCAATGTTTGATGTACTGCTCAAAATTTTATGAGCAGCAGTGTCGTAGAGACGGGGTCAACGTGACCCTTTTTTAAAAATATTTTCTACGCCACTGCTAATTTTGTCAAAAGGGAACTATTTTCGTGTAAAACGTTCAATTGTCTATCGAATTGGTCTCTTGCAAAATTTGGATTAAAGCAACCATTTTTAAGAGAAACACCTTTGTAGAAAATTTGTAAATCCAATTTTATTTTCATTCATTTTAGTTTCGCATAATAGGCTTGTGCTATTCAAAATAAAATTAAACATCGCCTGTCACTAATGTCAATGTGTACAAATGAGTTAAGTAAATTAGATTATAAGCTTCTTTTTGTCATTTTTATGCTTTAATTTTACAGAAACTTTGACGCCCTGTGAATGTACTAGGGAAAAAGATGTTTGAAAAATGTACTAAGAGTTTTGCGGCGATTTTGTTGCCCTTACCTTTGAGGGTATCACTATGTTGGCTCACTCGCTTGCAGCACTAGCACCCTTGCATCAATTTTGTGTATCACTTATATGTACCATATACACATTAGTCCAAATTTGAGATCTCAGTTGCGTATAGTTGCGTACCGTCTTGGTCAAAGCTTTTTCACATACACACTTTTTAAGTTGAATGTCGACTCTCCTCCCCCCTCATCGAGTCTTTTTCCCCACCCTCGGTTAGAGGACAAGGACAACATGGAATTAAATCGCGGAACGCGTGGTGATTTAAATAAAAAATAAATTAAGAAAGAAACGCAAACACCCTGTATCTCGTTAAGGAGGCATTTGCGACCCTATGTTTATTAAGACTTTTCGTCTTAATTTTTTATGTATTACTTACCCTAGAAGTCTGTCAGCGGTTTTTGAATCACCCTGTATAATAGCTCTGAAACTATGAAAGATACGTAAAAAATGATTGACAACAAAAATGTAGCTTTTTCTTTCAACAAATATTTTGCTTTTTTTATTCCTATAGCATAAAAAATAAAGGCGATATCGCGCTTGAAATATCTATTTTAGTGAAAAAACGACCTGTCTCGAGCCCAATGACATTTTTTCGGAACAAAATAGGCTTTCTTATTAGCAATTTTTGATTGATTATATTTAAAAATCGATTATAATAAAAATATTTTACATTAATATTGGTAAAAGGGTAGTTTATAAGAATTGAAAATGGTAAAAGTAAAATATTCTTTCATAAACAATATAAGGGAATTTTTATTTTAAATTATAGCATTCCAAGATTTAAAACGTAATTTTTTATTTATTTTTTTTAGCACAGGGGTGATTTATAAGGATTTATAAGCAATGAGGGAATTTTTATTTTAAATAATGGCACCGTTAAAGTATTCCAAGCTTTCAAAAAGTAATTTTTTTATCATTTTTGTCAATACAGGGGTAGTTTTTAGGGGTTGAAAGGGAAAAATTCTTTTATTAGCTATAAGATAACTTTTATTTTAAATAATTGCACGATTTAATCATTCCAAATCTTTAAAAAGTAATTTTTTATCATTATTATTTGCATAGGGGTAGTTTTGAAGGGTTAAATAAAGGGTCGAAAAGATCAAACATATCATAAAACATGTTCGAGAACATGGAACATTATTTAATCTTTGTGCTTGAACAAGATTTTTATCAATAAAATGCTTAAAACTTAATTTTTTCAATTTTTTCACTTAGGGGTAGCTTTTACCCCTAAAAAACAAAAAGCGTCAATCGGGCTTATGTCGCTTTTGAACTTGAGCCTAAGATGAGCCTTATTCTAAATTTTCATGCAAAT